TCTTCAACATCTGCCGCACACCTCCTTTCCATCCCTTTTTCCTCTTCCTTCTTAGTAGTCCTTCACCGGTTGTTTTGTTTTGTTTTGTCTCACCAGCCAGGTATGTCCCCTTTGGTCTGTTCTCCTGAATGTGAGTTGTTATATTGTAAAATATAGTTTCTGCTATAGCGGATGTGTGGATCCGCCGACTTTCTCGAAAGTTCGCATGCTGTTTCACGTACCAGCAAAAGTAATCCAAGTGTCCTGCTCTCCGATGTCCAATCACTGAAGGGGAAAATGGACGAATTGCCAGCAAACTCACAGTATCTATATGAATACAGGGAGGCCTGTGTGATGGCCTTTTCCGAAACTTGGCTGTCGGAGGCCGGTTCCCGACTCTGAAGTCACCCCTGACGGATTCACTGTCACTTGTATGGACAGAGACAGTGAAGCTACTGGTAAGGAGGACAGAGGGAGAGTCTGTGTGCTGATAAATGACAGATGATATAAAACTATGATTGTCAGGCAAAAAACATGCACTCCTGATATAGAACTACTGTCAGTGTCACTGCGCCCGTTCTACCTCCCCCATAAATTCCCCCAGCCTTTTCTCACAGTTGTTTATATCCATCCAAGAGCAAACAGCCTTTTCAATTCCATGCTCCATGGTGCCTGAGTCCCTGACCACCATGCCATCTGTGTGAGAGATATAACACACACATCACCCACCTGTGACCAGCCACTTCCTGCCCCAGTCCAGGCAGGCACCTTAATTTCATGGTCTTCAGCCTGTTGAATGGACGGCAATAAAGTAGCTTGCTTTATGGCGCCGTAAAGCTGGCCGTGGTGCAGATAGTCTGGTGGTGTGTCTCGGGGGTATATCATCAACCAGGAGGAGGAAAGGGGATGAATGACTGGAGTTCAGCCAGAGAATGGCTACGGCCTCAACACTGGATACATCGTGTGGGGGATCCAATAGTGGATATCTCTGGGCTTATTGGCTGATCCATATGAGACCCTGAGATTCTGATGTAGAACCCTGAATTAGTGTTATGTTCTGACTCCTACTCCATTAGCTGTGAATGGAGTGGGATACAAGTTTTAACCATAGTCATGTTAGTGCATGCAGTCAATCATTTTTTCTAACTGCAAACAAGAAATGTGAGGAAAAGTAGTCAGTTTTCAGTACTTACTAAGTGGTAGTTACACTGGTTATTCCACTGTTAATTAATTTGAAGTGTGTGTTGTTAAAGTTTTTCATTTTTACAAGAACCCTCCATATAACCCTTAATGGTAGACTAAACACCTACTAGCTTTCACTAATATTTTCTGCATCAAATGAGTCCCCAGCTTGAGCAGATATCAACCATTACTAACTGGTAGCTCCTATGCAATACTACACACAGTATGGTAGCTACAGATATCAACCATTACTAACTGGTAGCTCCTATGCAATACTACACACAGTATGGTAGCTACAGATATCAACCATTACTAACTGGTAGCTCCTATGCAAACTACACACAGTATGATAGCTACAGATATCAACCATTACTAACTGGTAGCTCCTATGCAATACTACACACAGTATGATAGCTACAGATATCAACCATTACTAACTGGTAGCTCCTATGCAATACTACACACAGTATGGTAGCTACAGATATCAACCATTACTAACTGGTAGCTCCTATGCGATACTACACACAGTATGATAGCTACAGATATCAACCATTGCTAACTGGTAGCTCCTATGCAATACTACACACAGTATGATAGCTACAGATATCAACCATTACTAACTGGTAGCTCCTATGCAATACTACACACAGTATGGTAGCTACAGATATCAACCATTACTAACTGGTAGCTCCTATGCGATACTACACACAGTATGATAGCTACAGATATCAACCATTACTAACTGGTAGCTCCTATGCAATACTACACACAGTATGATAGCTACAGATATCAACCATTACTAACTGGTAGCTCCTATGCGATACTACACACAGTATGATAGCTACAGATATCAACCATTACTAACTGGTAGCTCCTATGCAATACTACACACAGTATGGTAGCTACTGTATTCCATGCCTTAGCCCTGCTCCTGCTACTGTCCTGTAGAGATATATATATATATATATATATATATATATATATATATATATATACGTTCCAAATGGCACCCTATTCCCTAGGCTCTGGTCAAAGGTAGGGGACTATGTAGGGAATAGGGTGCCATTTGGGATGCAGCCTGTGAAGGGCATCAGTAGGTAGTGAAGTGTACATCTCGTCCCAGCAGGACCCCCCACTGTACATCTCGTCACAGAACCATAACAGCCTGCTGCAGCACAGAATCATGTCACGGTCAGCATTTTTCAGCATTTTCCACTCAGGCCCCCCCCCAGTCATAACACACCACACGTGATGTAATGAGCTGTGTGCCACTAGAATACATGTACACAGTGAGTCCTGTCACACTGATATTGAAAGACTGAGACGGAGAGATGGTCCATCTCTCTAAGCTAAAGCGCTTGATGACAGTGTTGGCCGACAGACTGCATGTTAGACACGATGAAGTCTTTGGATGGGACTCTGTTATGTAAAAGTTAATCAATAGCTAGACTGTTAAATAGCCATCACTAGCACATTAGAGGCTGCTGCTGCCTATTGAAATCACTGGCCACTTTAAGAAATGGAACACTAGTCACTTTAATTATGTTTACATATCTTGCACTACTCATCTCATATGTATATACTGCATTCTATTCTATAATATTCTACTGTATCTTAGTCCATGCCACTCTGTCATTGCTTGTCCATATATGTATATATTCTTAAATTCCATTCCTTACTAGTTTTGTGTGTATTGGGTATATGTTGTGATATGTTAGATATTACTGCACTGTCGGAGCTAGAAGCACAAGCATTTCGCTACACCTGCTATAACATCTGCTAAACACGTGTATGTGACAAATAACATTTGATTTGATTTGATTTAATCAGTGTGTGGAATCAAGGGCTCCGTAATGAATTATAAAGAGAGAGTCAGATTCAAGTGAAGGACTATGATGTTAGGCTGCTAATGAGTTGGGCGATTGCCTTTGACGTCACAGGCGTCCAAATTATGAGTGCTGATCTAGGATCAGGCTGTACTGATAGCTCCAAATTATGATTGTGGTCTTAGTCATTGTGATCAAAAAAGCAGAACTGATCCTAAATCAGCACTTCTACTCTGAGCTGCTTGATTCATACGGCCAGTGTGTGTAGGTGAGTTTGTCAAACCACCGTGGGAATGTTTGTGCAGTGTTTGTGGATTGTATAATTAAATGAATGCCACACTAATGCTCCTCTTCCGCATACTTTCGTAGCAGAGAAGAGGCTCGCTCGTGTGTGTGTGTGTTTAACTGCGTGGGTGGGTGACTGTGATTCTGTTAATGCCGTTTGTGTGCTAGTCCTAATGACTCTAGAAGCGATAGATGCTCATTGCTTTGATGCTAATCTGAATAGACACATGTAAACACAGTGTCAAGCTTCCAGACAGCCAGTCTTGGCCTCCATCCTCGCTCTGCAGGGTCAGTCAGTAGAGTGGCTGATTGGCTGGTGATATCGCATTGACTTATGAGGCAGGAGGATGAGTGACTGTGTAACAGGGGATTGGTAAACTTATTCCTCAGTTTAAAAAAATTCAAACCACACCATCAAATTGCTAGCTTTTTGGTGGCGTAGCCGGCTAAGACATTGTCAAAGGGGCGATCGTGTGTTTGCGACAGAGGTCCTGAGTTACAGTCTCTGTGTGAGCTGGTGAGGGATGAACAGGTATGGTTAAACAAGCACAGTATCTGTGTCTGTCAAACAGCTGACAGATACATCATGCAGAGTTTTTCCCTGAAATGTCCCTGAAATCATGTGCACATGACCTCAGAAAGTTCTAATGGACATTCAGTGGTCACAAAGCATGCACACACACACACACATGCACACTCGGGTACGCACACACGCATGCACACATGATCCAGCTGAACGTGAGCACACTGTCAAGCTGATACACTCCATTATCTCCTCTCCAAACAATGCTCTGATGTCCATGACTGACATTTTGAAAGCTACACCCTCTCTGTGTTTGTGTTTATTCAAATAGGATGAAGAGCCTGTCCAAACCCATTAAGTATGTCTACTCTGTCCGACCAGGGACAGTGATTATAAACCTGTCTACTCTGTCTGGCCAGGGACAGTGATAGTAAATCTGTCTGGTCTGTCTGGCCAGTGACAGTGATAGTAAATCTGTCTGGTCTGTCTGGCCAGTGACAGTGAAAAAAAATCTGAATCAACAGGATCTAGCAAACAGAGGGACAACTCTAGGTAAACACCCCCATCTAGTGGTCAGTATCAAGCATTTATCTTCTCTCCTGAAGTGGTGTGTGTGTGCGTGCGTGCATGTCTGTGTGTATGTCTGCATGTCTGTGTGTATATGTGTGCGCATACGTGTGTGTGTGTGTGGTGACGTGGGTGCATCCTTCACAAAACAACTTCAAGTGAGCCACAGTTTGAGAGAGAAAAGTTTTAATGAGAGCGAGCTGTTAGCTGAAGAGAGCCTTTGTAGCCCTGAGGCGTACGATGCCACAGCAGCACGTTCTGAAGCAGCGGCCTCTCTGTCTCTACTTATTAGGCTTCAGCCTTAGTCACATGACCTGGAGTGTGAGTCACATGACATGAGTCTTGAGGCCAGGCAGTGTTTGTCTATGTGACCTGCCTTGCCTTGGTTAGCCCCCTGCCTGCTCACAAACATAAATACAACTCACTATAACAACCAAGAGGAGAGGACAGGCTGCCTTAGGGGGGCAGGAGGGAGGGACAGAAAGAAAGAAAGAGAGATCTGTTTAGAGGGTGATAAAAGTGATAGTCTCTCCTTCAACTCTGAATAGGACATTATACATGGCATTACATTACAGAGTTATGACTAGATGTAGTAAGCAATACACAAGGCAGCATATTGCAAACTATATTTAGTCATCATGCACCATCTTGAGCACCTTGCTTTTTCCCAACACAAAGCATCCTTATCTTATCCTACCCTCTGCCCTCTGTCTCTCTGGAAAGGTATCTACCCTCTGTCTCTATGACTCTGTCTCTCTGGAAAGGTAATCCTAACCCCCTCTGTCTCTCTGGAAAGGTAATCCTAACCCCCTCTGTCTCTCTGGAGAGGTAATCCTACCCTCTGCCCTCTGTCTCTCTGGAAAGGTAATCCTACCCCCCTCTGTCTCTCTGGAAAGGTAATCCTACCCTCTGCCCTCTGTCTCTCTGGAAAGGTAATCCTAACCCCCTCTGTCTCTCTGGAAAGGTAATCCTAACCCCCTCTGTCTCTCTGGAAAGGTAATCCTAACCCCCTCTGTCTCTCTGGAAAGGTAATCCTAACCCCCTCTGTCTCTCTGGAAAGGTAATCCTAACCCCCTCTGTCTCTCTGGAAAGGTAATCCTAACCCCCTATGTCTCTCTGGAATGGTAATCCTAACACCTTCTTTCCTCTCTGTTGTTCTCTATTTTCAGGGACAAGTGATCCGTATGTGAAGTTTAAGATTGCGGGGAAGGAGGTGTTCAGGAGCAAGACCATCAATAAGAACCTGAACCCTGTGTGGGATGAGAAGGTCAACCTACTGGTGGGAAGCCTCCGAGAACCCCTCTATGTCAAGGTACGACTGTCTGAGAGGGGATATTAACCAGGCCCGTAACCAGGGTCTGAGTTTTAGAAATACATTTTAAGAAAGTTGAAGCTCATTTACTGCATTTCTATTCAATTTAAAAACTCTAAAATGCTATTTGGAGAACAGCAAAAACAAGCAAAAATGACCCCAGCCATTGTCACATTGATGTCGATCTACAAACACATAGCCTTGTAGGGGATATTGGTCACGTTATTACTATAAATTATGAATTAATGTCTAAGGATAATTCATATTTGTTATGAATCGGGGCACCAGTCCATTATTGGACAAAAATGGTATTCTAAGAAGACCTGACTCATGAGTTATCTTAACAATAACACTAGAAGACAAAAATGGTAATAATTGATTTATCTGTAGGTATATCTGATCAGCCTAATATCAGATTTGTGAATGTGTACCGTTTTCTAGAGCTTGTTTTATGTCAGAGAAACACAAAAACAGGTCAGATACAGAAGTTGAATAATAATAGTAAATTGAATCAATGTTTAAAGGATGAATGATGATAATGGAGAACATTATGAATTCAACAGCTTGATTACCAGCAAATTGTTAGAGGATGATATTCTCAATATTGTCACGCCCTGGCTCTGGGGACTCTAATATGTTGAGCCAGGGTGTGTAAAGTCTATGTGTTTTGTTCTAGGTTTCACTTTCTAGTATTGTTGTTCTATGTTGGCCAGTGTGGTTCTCAATCAGAGGCAACGTGATTCAGCTGTTGCTTGTTGTCTCTGATTGAGAACCATACTTTAGCAGCCTGTTTCCCCACAGAGTTTGTGGGATCTTGTTTCTAGTCGGTTGTGTTAGACCGTGAACTGTCACGTTTTCGTTTTGTTGTTTTGATCGTGTCTCTAATAAAGAGTATGTTTGCCTGCAACGCTGCGCCTTGGTCCTCATCTCTGTTCGACGATCGTGACAGAAGATCCCACCAAGACTGGACCAAGCAGCAAGTCCAGGAGCCAGCGCCTGAGAGATCTCTAGCGGATCTCCTTCGCCTCCTCGACTGGGTCAAGCCATGTGAGGAAGAGAGGGGCTTGACGTGGAGGCAGAAGGGCGAAAGGCTGGCGAGAAGCATGGAGACCTGGTCCACGGGTAGGAGTGAAGCCCATAAATTTTTTAGGTGGGGGCAAACGCCGTGGACGACGGGGCAGCAGGAGGCCGCCAGGTTACGGGAGTCACTGGTCACCAGGGGGAAGGAGGATGTAGAGGCACGGTGAGAGGTACTGGCGTGTGTTGCCAGTCCGGTCCGGCCTGTTCCTGATCCCCACGTAGGGCCAGTGGTGTGTGTTCCCAGTACGGCTCGGCCCGTTCCTGCTCCCCGCACCAAGTCAGTGGTGCGCTTCGTCAGCCCGGCACGGCCCGTTTCTGCTCCCCGCACCAAGTCAGTGGTGCGTTTCGTCAGCCCGGCTCGGCCCGTTCCTGCTCCCCGCAACAAGTCAGTGGTGCGTTTCGTCAGCCCGGTCCGGCCCGCTCCTGCTCCCCGCACCAAGTCAGTGGTGCGTTTCGTCAGCCCGGCTCGGCCCGCTCCTGCTCCCCGCACCAAGTCAGTGGTGCGTTTCGTCAGCCCGGCTCGGCCCGTTCCTGCTCCCCGCACCAAGTCAGTGGTGCGCTTCGTCAGCCCGGTCCGGCCCGCTCCTGCTCCCCGCACCAAGTCAGTGGTGCGTTTCGTCAGGCCGGCTCGGCCCGCTCCTGCTCCCCACACCAAGCCAGTGGTGTGCGTCGTCAGTCCGGCACGGCCCGTGCCTGTTCCACCGGTGGCTGGTCCGGCACCGGTCAGATGCTTCACGCCGGAGCTAGAGCAATCCGCTCCACCAGTGTGCAGTCCAGCTCCGGCCAGCGGGGCCAGACCGGACCAGGGGTACTTTGGGGGGTTGGAGAGGGAGCGGGGATCAGGCCCGGAGCCGGATCCGCCGCCTAAGCGGAGTGCCCACCCGGTCCCTCCCCTGTGGTATTTGGTGGGCGCGGTCGGAGTCCGCGCCTTTAGGGGGGGGGTACTGTCACGCCCTGGCTCTGGGGACTCTAATATGTTGAGCCAGGGTGTGTAAAGTCTATGTGTTTTGTTCTAGGTTTCACTTTCTAGTATTGTTGTTCTATGTTGGCCAGTGTGGTTCTCAATCAGAGGCAACGTGATTCAGCTGTTGCTTGTTGTCTCTGATTGAGAACCATACTTTAGCAGCCTGTTTCCCCACAGAGTTTGTGGGATCTTGTTTCTAGTCGGTTGTGTTAGACCGTGAACTGTCACGTTTTCGTTTTGTTGTTTTGATCGTGTCTCTAATAAAGAGTATGTTTGCCTGCAACGCTGCGCCTTGGTCCTCATCTCTGTTCGACGATCGTGACAAATATGGATAGAGCAACATTTACACACTCAAGAATAACAGGTCACGCGGGTGCATACATGGTCAAGAAGTGGTTCAGTTATAATGTTAAAGTTATAATGTTACTTAACGTTAACCTAAAGAGCTTCACATTACACATCATGCCAACGCTGGGGAGATAAAGGGTAATTAGCTGTACAGTTACACAATAGATGGAATGGAGGTCTTCGGTCAGATAAACAGTGCAGCCTCACTATCTGACGGTGAGTCGGCTTCACGCAAGCTCAGAGTTCGGAGTCCTGGGTGGCTGGAGACTCAGAGATGTGTGCTGACGCCGGGTAGTCCTGTGCAAGACAGCACAGAGTCCAACGTAGGTTTGACTAGGAATGCTGGTGTTCGCTGTCGATGAATGAGATCTAGACGGGATCAGTCGGATGCGAGCTGGTGATCTGGAATCCTTATCTCTGCTTCATTGTAAAATGGACAACTCGTAAGAGTAAGTGCTTAGGTGGTTCGTCCAGAAGTCGTCTCAACATTCCCTGCTGACAGCCAAAACATTCACTGGAAACCTACCTCAGCTCTTTTATTCCCTCCATCTGAGGAGAATGTTCAAAATGTCCCCCCAAACCATCCGACCCTGCTGATTGGTTCAAGCGCGACAAGGGGGAGAGAGTCATCCAAGCCTCTCCTAAACCTCTCCTAGGGTTGGCATGTTTGTGCCAATTGGAGAAATTAGGGATTTGTTCTTCATGTACCATACAGAAACAGTACAATAGTGACTTAAATGAAATGTGCAGTCCGTATGCACCAAACATGCCTTGGTTAGGTTACATATTGTATGGTTACTTGTAATAAGCATATTATACCTCGTAAAAACATGTGATGTTCTTTGCCCCAGAAGTTGAAGAGTTCAATCACATAGGGCTTTTGTATTAGCCTGAGAGGATGGCTGCCGTTTTACAGCCCTCTAACCAATTGTACTATTATGTGTGTTTTTTCGTTATTTGTAATTTATTCTGTACATAATGTTTCTGCCAAAAAGAACTTCTGGATATCAGGACAGCGATTACTCACCTCGTATTGGACGAAGATTTTTTCTTCAACGAGTCGGACGCGAAGGATATCCTACAGACACCCGACAAGGCCCAAATCCCCGTCATTCGCAGGAGAAAGAGACGGAGATATCGCGGACGTAGGTCGGGATGCCTTGTAAGGATCCGATGGCGAGCGAGTAAACTGCCTCTTCCATCAATCCTATCAGCCAATGTTCAATCATTTGAAAATAAATTAGATGACCTAAGATTACAGTTATCCTACCAACGGGACATTAAAAACGGTAATATCTTATGTTTCACCGAGTCGTGGCTGAACAACGACATGGACAACATACAGCTGACGGGATATACGCTACATCGGCAGGATAGAACGGCTGACTCCGGTAAGACAAGGGGTGGCGGTCTGTGTATATTTGTAAACAACAGCTGGTGCACAAAATCAAATACTAAGGAAGTCTCAAGGTTTTGCTCGCCTGAGGTAGAGTATCTTATGATAAACTGTAGACCACACTATTTACCAAGAGAGTTTTCATCTATATTTTTCATAGCTGTCTATTTACCACCACAAACCAATGCTGACATTAAGATTGCACTCAATGAGCTGTATAAGGCCATAAGTAAACAGGAAAACGCTCATCCAGAGGCAGCGCTCATAGTGACCGGGGACTTTAATGCAGGGAAACTTAAATCCGTTCTATGTAATTTCTACCAGCATGTTAAATGTGCAACCAGAGGAAAAAAAACTCTAGACCACCTTTACTCTACACACAAAGACGCATACAAAGCTCTCCCTCGCCCTCCATTTGGCAAATCTGACCATAACTCTATCCTCCTGATTCCTGCTTATAAGCAAAAGCTAAAGCAGGAAGCACCAGTGACTCTGTTAATAAAAAAGTGGTCAGATGACACAGATGCTAAGCTACAGGACTGTTTTGCTAGCACAGACTGGAACATGTTCCGGAATTCTTCAGATAGAATTGAGGAGTACAGTCGTGGTCAAAAGTTTTGAGAATGACACAAGTATTGGTCTTCACAAAGTTTGCTGCTTCAGTGTTTTGAGATATTTTTGTCAGATGTTACTATGGTATACTGAAGTATAAGGCTTTTATTGACAATACATTAAGTTTATGCAAAAAGTTAATATTTGCAGTGTTGACCTTTCTTTTTCAAGACCTCTGCAATCCGCCCTTGCATGCTGTCAATTAACTTCTGGGCCACATCCTGACTGAAGGCTGCCCATTCTTGCATAATCAATGCTTGGAGTTTGTCAGAATTTGTGGGTTTTTGTTTGTCCACCCGCCTCTTGAGGATCGACCAGAAGTTCTCAATGGGATTAAGGTCTGGGGAGTTTCCTGGCCATGGACCCAAAATGTTGATATTTTGTTCCCCGAGTCACTTAGTTATCACTTTTGCCTTATGGCAAGGCGCTCCGTCATGCTGGAAAATACATTGGTCGTCACCAAACTGTTCTTGGATGTTTGGGAGAAGTTGATCTCGGAGGATGTGTTAGTACCATTCTTTATTCATGGCTGTGTTCTTACGCAAAATTGTGAGTGAGCCCACTCCCTTGGCTGAGAAGCAACCCCACACATGAATGGTC